TTGCAAGGCACATTCATATTTGCTCACACCAAACGATCTGCTATTCAATTGTGAACAGCCGTGCAAAATTTTGCGCGGCTACGCCGCGCCGTTCGGAAACCATTCTGGAAAAACCTTCAGGGGGTCAGTTTGACACCCACCCGAGCGCGTGTAAACATTTTGTACAGATAAATTTCAGAATTAAACGTGGAACTGCGCCTCGAAAGACAGTCCTTCGCAAGACAGCGCCAATGAACATGTGTATGGGAGGCTGTGCCGCCACTCCGACTCGGAAAGAAGCAGTTATGTCGTGTTTTGTCCTGTACCTGCGTGCTCGTTCTGCGGCGTACTGGTAGGGCCGTCCGGCTCGTCCACGGGACCTTGGCCGGGCCAATTCGCTCGCCGCCCTGCTCAGCTGACGGGCGCCAATTGATGGCTGTCCCCAGTGCCGTCAGTGGCCGGGCCGCAATACAAGGCCGAATGCAAATCACTCGATCAACGATTCGATGGGTGTGTTTTGACCGAGCAGCAGGCCATGTTAAATGTATGCCCATCTCGTGGATCATCAGCTCACCGCCTCCGCGTCCGTCGCCCAGCCCTGCAGCATGCTGGACCTGCGCAGGGGAGCCGGTGTGGGCGCTATATTGGGGGCGCCGCTAGCGGTGCCACGCCTCAGAAAAATCATAACCTGCCTATCGTTTGCCGACGTCGCCGTTGGTCAGATAGTGTTAAGCCTGTGGCTCCGATTTAACGCGCGTTTGAAATTGTAGCAAAATCGGCATTTTTGAGTTTCCCGTTAATCAAATGAGGGGCTATTAATTTATAGCTCTACTTGCATTGCAATGTCGCCGGCAAACCAAGCCCAAGGCTTATGCGCCTGTGCTGGGTAGGTTGTTATCGCTGTTTGCTTGCTCTGGCCATGTAAAATGTTGCCCCAAATCGTAAGAAGGACCTACAGACCGGTGTACCAATGGTATGAGCTCCAGCCCGCGTAATAGCCACTGCGCATGAACTCCCACCTCTGCCAACACAAGCGTGGTTTTCGTCATCGTCCAACGGCATTAGTTGGCCCAGTAGTTATTGCAGACCCAACTCGCCGAGATGTGGCTCCGATTTAACTCGCGTTTGAAGCCTTACAGCAAAATCGGCATACTTGAGTTTCCCGTTAATCAAATGATGTGGCTATTAATTTGTAGCTCGATTGCATTGCAATGTCGCGGGCAAACCAAGCCCAAACCAACAGACTGCATGGAGGTTGGCTGGGAGGTGTAAATGACAGCTTGAAGGAAATGTTTCGCTTTTGGAGATATTGCAACATGTCACATTTGGAGATATTGAGGCAACCTTCAGACATGATGAAACAAGCTCACCTTTAACCATTGGTATCCTTTTCAAGCGGCAAATATTGTCCTACACGGCACAATTCTCTGCTTGGCAAGTATGTCCTCAATGCGTCATGGTTTGATCACGTAATCGTGCCTTGCACAACATTGATTGAGAGCCAATTGACGTCCGTTATGCCTGGAAATCGTGCTCATGAACGCCAGGTATGAACGCCCCGACATACATTTCTTGGCCTTGATCGCTGCATGGCTTATGGCATGGCGGGATTTGAATGACGTTATTATGATGTCATGAATGCCAAGGAGACTTTAAAACGTATCTCAGAAAAAAGAGGGGCCTAGGCGTTAAAAAGGGCAGAATTGTTAAACAGCACTGAAAGGTCTTCATGATGGCTGTTTCAGCTCAAAACCCCGTGTAAACATGGAGCACTGACTTGAAAAAAAAATGTATTGAACGCCGTTCCTGAAAACTACGTAACGTGGGAGCAGCGACCGCAAAGATGTGTGCTCGTGATAAGCTGCAGTGTGGTGAGCTAGGTCGCCTGGGACGTCAGTGGAAGATAAAGCAAGCTCGGATGTGGCTGTGCTCGTAATAAATGGCAATAGAAAGCAGTCTGTGTGACTGGGGTTTGTATTCAGCGTGAACTGTACGCCTTTCCAGACTCTCCGCCACTCGCACTGAGCTTTGGGCCGTGCCAGAAAACCCGCATGTTCCTCCCACTCACGGCGTCCGCCTGTCGCTGACTTGGCTGCTGTCGTAGCGGGTAACAGCACTGCGACAGCATTTCTCTGCGCACCGGAACCGGCGCAGTTTGCACATAGGCAGCTCCCCGAATTGGCTTCTATTGCCGCGCTGGTAGCGCAGTCAGGGGGTGCTCGTGCTGTTGTGGTACTGACCGGTCTTATATCGGGGCTTCCGATTAGCCGAGCTGGCAGCAACAGCCGGCGGGTGCTGCAGACGACCTGACGCCAACCCGGGTGTCATATTTGGCGATCTTTTGTAGAACTGGTGGTTTTCGAATTTCTGTAGGTGATGTGCCGTCAATAAGGCAGTTTGTGATACTTATCCGTTTTGAGGGCCACAGAGGACTTTGCAATGCGTGCGGGGCACGACTCCAAATGTTTCTCTTAGCACGCCGCAAACACGAACAACTTGTGTCGCGCATATCGACATCGTATCTTTCCAATGTATTTATATGTTCGCGTCGACATGTACTTTTTCATTGCTTACTTATTTTCACGTGCACATTATTTGGCTGCACTGAAGTTAAGAAAAGGGTGTTCTGGTGCCCCCTTGAGTATGCCACTAGGCGACGATATTCGTTTTCCAGCCACGAGTGCAGAATGTCATATGGCGGTTGTCGCAGCGGCCACACCAAAACATTTACTTGGTTACAGATGAGTGAAGAAGGCCAAGCTTTCCCACTGGCCTAAGGCAGCGCTGACGACCCAACCAGAAGTATGCGCGATAAAAGCATGGAATCAGGTTAACTGGCAGGCACGCAGGGCGTGAGGGAAAGTGCTGCTGCAACTGATCGACTCAATGTGTTAACAATCCGTCGGGATTGGAAGGGAGGTACACGATATTACCGCCATTGCGAACGGCTCAAATCGACGCACCAATACGTTTATGCTAATCACAATGGAGATCAAGGTTTCGACCGGAGGACGCCCGCCTCTCCACAGAGCCTTCAGAGGGTCCTGTCAACTTGGAAACATCGGTGAAGGACAATAAGAATGTCTGTGGTCCAGGGTTATTTTGTTCGTCTGTCTTGGCTACCAGTTTTCATTGCTGCGCTGTAACAGGTGACTCTGCGGTGCCATTTGTTGTTCTTATCGTGTGGTGAACATGCAGCTGTTCCATATGATCCGACTGTGCTAAGTCTAACGACCGCTATCAGACGTGACATGGTATAGCCCGTTTTGGCTATCGTCTCCACCACTAGGGGCGCAGCCAGGATTTCCGTGAGGGAGGGACCCGGAGCTCGGTGGATGCGTAGCAGGCCGATTTTTAACTTTTTGTCTGGAACCCTCAATGGGGAAAAACGAGAAACCTGTACGTGAGGGTGGGGGCCGAGCCCCCGGGACTCGTTCCTGGCTGCGCCCCTGCCCGCCGTATATTCTGCTATCTGGTCCGGCGGGTGGGTGCAGCCGGCCGGCGCCCGATCTGAGGAACGCTGAATATGAAGTCCGGCTGAGGTTGTGTGCAGGAGAGAGGCGGGGGGGGGGGGGGGGGGTAAGCCTTCGCATGTCGGAAGGGCCATGACCATTTTGCATTAGTTTCCGGTCAAAGCCCATATAATCGATGTTCAGCTTTCACAAGGTTTGGTGAACTAGGAACTTGTGGAACTGGGAGGCCCACCATGGCCCCCTAGTTCCCGCGCTTCTGGCGTTGGGCCTCCCCGTAGATTCTGCATGAGATGTCGAACAGGTGGTCCTAGTGTATCCTCAGCTATTCGATGGTAATGTGACATGTGGTGGAAAGGGGTCTGGATGTCTGCTGAAGAGTGCGCGGGAAGATTTGAAATGATATATATATATATATATATATATGTGTATATATATATATATATATATATATATATATATATATATATAATTCTGTCTTAGGGCAAATCAACCGCACTCATATGTCATACGGCCCTGTTATTTGCTACAAGCTGTCTGACGGTCGAAGCACGGCATCGAAACCCAGCAGAGAGTTACTACGATAAAATATCAACAAGGTCGTCTGTGACGACATCCACCTGAAGCTGTGGTAGTGAAGGGAAACATCTGGCCTTTTCGGTGTCCTGACTCCGAAATGTTGTGACAATGTGTTTAATGTTTTAGCTCGATTGCACATACTGCGTCATCTCCCAACAGATGGTGTATATGTTTTGGGTTGGTGCGACCAACACGGAACCGGCAGGAAGTTTTGAAAAATTATTGGGGGGAATGTATCACATTTGAAAATGTGGAAGCAAGCGTCAGATTTAATATAATAAGCCCACTCACAACAAGTAGTAAACTTTTAAGCGGAAAAGGCTGCTCCAGATAGCACAAATTTTCTATTAAGTAAATATGCTCGTCAATGCGTCATTGTTTGATTACGCCATCGTGTCATGCACTACAGTGATTGAGAGTCAGTTGACGGTCGTTTTATCTGGCAATCGTGCGCACGAATACCAGATATGAACGAATCCGACAATTATATTTTTATTTCCCTTGATCGCTACAATGCAGCTGATTCAGTGGCAGGATTTGAATGACATTATTAGACGTCATGGGTGCCTGGGTGACATTGAAATAGTCTCCCCGAAAAAGTCTGCACATCCCCGTGGGCGTATAGCTTAGAAACTCGAGAGATGTGTGTCTTAAGAAGGGCAGGACTGTGAACTCCACCGAACGACCTCCAAGATGGCTATTTCAATTCGAAACCCCATGCACATGTGGAGCACTCGCTTTGATGGCAGCGTAAACAGCCGTAGTCGTGCGGCAATAAAGGAGAGACTTTACAGAACTGGAAGTGAGGCGTAACAGAATTTGTCGTCAGTGAGTGCTCAAAACACCGACAGAACACCGACAGGGTCCGTGTCGAAACGCCAGCAGACTGGGAGGCGCGCGTTTTCCAAGAAGTCCGCCGCTGCTGCAGCCACGTGCGGCAGCCCCGGCGTGATGCGATGGCTGCCGTTTCAGATGGCGCTCTATCGCTGGACCTGCACTCGTCGCTGTGCGAGCCGGAGGAGCCAGTGCCAACGGTGATACTCTCGCCAAATGCCGCCCCTCTGCTGGCTCTGCCGCCGGACGACGGCGGCGCCGCGCTGCCGTCGTCGGCCGCCGCCGCCAGCGCCTCGACGCTCGACTTCACCGCGGCACCGCTGATGCCGATATAGGCCGCTGACGTCATCACGACCGGCGACATCGCAAATCCCAACCAGCCCCCCCCCCCCCACCCCCCCCCCCCCCCTCCACCGCCGCCGGTAGTTGGCGCGCTGGCCGAGAGGAGGCGCTCCGGCGGACGTCCGCCGCACCGCTGCCAGCGCCCCCTGCCCAGTGCGGCGCCACCAGTGCCGGACCTGGGGGTCGCGCGTGTTAACGACAAGCGTTCACCCCAGCATCGCACTGACCGGACCAGCAGCCGGTGGCCGGAGGCCGACAGGCACTTGTGCCGCGGACGTCCTCGCGTGACGCCGCCGCTATAGCTGTCACACGCAGACACGCTGCCCCTGCCGCTTACCAGTCGTGTAAGGGTGCCCGCCAACCCCTGATCCGCGATAGCGAGACCCAGGGTGACCGCGTACGTGATGGGCTACCTGAAGACGGCGTGTGCGGCCTCAGCCACCCGCCCGCCTGATGTTCCCCATCACCGCTCGCGCGGGCTCGGCGCCGCTCTCGATTTCAGGTTGAGTCGAAGGGCTGCGCCGTCGAGGCAGCTGCGTGTCGCTTCACAGCCCAGCAAGTCTCGGCGCGATGGACGCGCGCACAGGCGCTCACGCTTCTAACCGGGACGGGTCCGCTGGCCCCGCTCCAAGCTGGGGGCGGTGCCCTCGGGGCAGGGGGCGTCCCCACACCGCCCCCGGGCTATGAGCGGACATCAGCGCGGATGTGGTTCTCTATCGATAGGTGTAGATGCCCCGCGAGTGGTGTTACTGACGCCGGGCGCTGTTGGTCGTATGCTTTGGTGCTCGGTGGAATCAAACGGGTCTGTCGCGCTGTTGGTTGTTGAGCCGGGCCCTGCGCAGGGTGCAGCAGCGGAGGTGCTGAGGTGTTTGTAGTCCGCAGGCACCCAGCTAACACCTGGGACGGCATGTGGGTTGATGCGGCAGGGGTGAAGTTTCAATATGCTTCGAGTTGGACATGTTGTCGGTTTGTTTCATAACTGTCCACCGTAGTCATGTCCTCAACTAATGTCTCAAGGTCTCGGTGACGATCGTCACATATCTGAAAGTCGCCTTCTCCGCTCTTGAAATATTCTACTGACAGTTTTTGTATCAAGGGAGTGAACAATCAAAACATGGGCCAGTCAAGCCAATCCCGGCTTGTATCGGCTGTTTGCTGGCCTGTTGAGTGCAGACGAGGGAATGCAAGGAAGAGGTATTGCGATTCCCTGGGGTTAATTCGGGCTTGACTTGCAAAACTAGCATGTTTGCTGCAACGTTTCCAAGCCGTTGGGATGAGCGAGCGCGATTACCGTATGTGTGTCTAGATATCCAGTTGTCTTGTTTCTGGACTGTTGTTGTATTCGTGGTGCATCGTGTGTTGCTTCAGATGTTTAAGTTAAGTGGAGGTTTTTCACATTCCTCTGCAGTGGCTCGCGTAGGCCACATATTTGAAGGCAGATGCAGACTGCTCAAACTTGCTGGACGATGATGCTTATCAGGCTAGTTGCATTTGGTTCGGTTTACTTACAGCGTCGCGCTCAGATTCTAAAGGAAGTCGAGTTCAATGGAGATTTTGGTGTTGGTCGGTCATCAACGTCGACCATCTGCGCTGTGCAGATGATCGATGCCCGGATATCGACTTAAGTCGCGTTCGGATTCTCATTGCAGTGGAGTAGGTGTCCATATATTGACTTCATTCGCCAAAATGCTTCCCATTTTCAAATCCGTCCAGCTCAACCCAAACCCAGCGATAGAGGCTGGTTACGCCGAAACAGCAAGCGACAAAAGTAGCGATTTTCAACGCAACTTTCACCACGAGCGGCCGAAAAGTGAGACCCAAAGTAAAGCAAATTTCCCAGACACAAGTCACTCTTAGAAAATCAAGTCTTTATGAAAGGCGAACTGTGGGAAGTCACGCTCTCTCAGTCTTCACGACGATAAATTGGAACCGCGACGTTCACACATGGCTATGTGAGCAAGTAATGGACGTTTATCCCGCCCTTGGTTTTGAAATTGATTTCCACTTTTCATGATTTTGTTATTTTTGTATTTTGTGTTCCACAAACAAAACGCTTTGAGGCATATGTGTAGGACCTGTGAACGGAATTTTTAGATGACTTATGACACATTTTAAGGTGCTGATTTTCGGAAGCACCCGTGTCCGACATTCACCTGCATTCGACGATTACCTGACTGGCGCAGAAGTACATTCAAGTGGGATTAAATCAAACGGAACTCAGGTGAAGTACCCGCACGGAAATCGTCGATCACGGTCGGATCGGATCGGCAGATCAGATCAGCTGGTCGATCAGCAGATTGGATCAACAGATTGGATCAGCAGGCCAGACCAGTAGATCGAATCAGCAAATCGGATCAACGGATCGGATCAGCGGATTGGATAAGCAGATCGCATCCCGCTCTGCGCCATAGCTGGCGGAGAGCGGAGATTGTGCACCATCTTGCTCACCGTTGGGGGCGATTCTGCAGCGTTTCGGCGATGACACCTTGCCGCTGTGATCACGCGATCATAAATGGACGCCGACGCAGGCGGATGTCGCGGGTAATGACTGGGGTGTGCAGTTCGGGGCGTTTTCGCCATCACGTGTCCTCGACCAGCTGGTAGCGCTTGGGATTGAGAGGAAGAGATCGGCGCAGTGTAGGTAAAGTGAGCGGAGCTGATGCAAAACTAGCTGAGGTGAACGGCGTCTGTGGATGGCTTCGGTTTTTCATACAACTGCGATCTTAAATGTCTCTCTTTGAGCTTGAAAAGACGCGTTGCTGGGGCTAAGGTTGGTCTTAAGTTAGGGGAGGAGGCAGGGGAGATCGAACCTCTCAACTTGCAGCTGGTTCTCGAACTTGCAGCTGAGTTCTCGGACTTGCAGCTGAACCCCCTCCCTCAGCCGTCCTGTTACAGCTGCAGCTGATCTCTGCCGGCTGCGGGAAAGCTCAGCTGTAATTTCGGGAGGTGGGGGCTCTGCGTGCTGAGAGCTCTCCCATCTTGCAAAATATGTCTCCAGATGGAACCTAATCCAACATCAGACGTCGGGATGAGGACAATCTCATGAACACAGGCAGGAAATTATACAATGTTGGGAAAAATCGGTTTCAAAGGCGAGGACTGTATCCAATCTGTTCTGCCTTTCTCCCACTTAGCTCACATCAAGAAAACGTACAGCCGTTAGTTTCTCTAAATGACAAAATGAAGCAGCCTTAATACCGGCAAATTTAGCATTTTGATAAAACCTTAAGCCCACCAACCACGGACAGAGCATCCCCACCTGACTGCAAAACTTAGTCCCCTCTTCCTCGATTCCAGTTTCCCTTCGGTTCGCGATTCATGGGTACGGCACATGTCTGTGATCAGGGGGAGAGTTATTCCTGCGACGGGACGCATGGCGAATAGATAGACTTTACGTCACGACGCATCGTGCTCACCTGTCGTTAGTTCGGAACGACAGTTGCCGAGTTCCGTTGACTAGAATGTGATTCTGGTGACGCTGGCTGTGAGCGGCCTCCGACAGGGTCACGACCCGGCAACGGGCGCGGACATGCCTCTGCATACGCTCCAGCTATCCTGGCGCGGAGGCGAAGCGTCAGCTGGGTGCCGTCCGCCGGCGCGAGAGCTGTGCGGCGGACAGGCGATAGGCCAAAAATGGACACGTCATGCGGGTACAGCATTGCTCACGTTAGGCTCGTTCACAGCTTAGCGGCACGACTGTGGCTTTATGTAGCCTCTGGACGCAACCTGAGTCGTCGGGCTCCCCACCGCGCCCCAGACCAGACCTGGGCGCGTAAGCATGTACCTGGAGTGCGGCTGTCTGGACGCTGTTATCACCGTCTCATCAGGCGGAAGGCAGCTATCACAGGCGGAAGGCCGCAGTTGTGCAAGAAATTTTGCTGCGTAGCGTTGCTCGGGCTCGATTGTTGTTGGTAGCGGGTACAATGCTGCCACGGTCGACGGCGGGCGGAAACGGCTTGGTGGTCGCTGACGGGTGGCATGGCCCCTGGGCCGCCTGGTACGGAAGCGGTCCGCGGAGACATAATTCTGCGCGGCTGTTGTGTGCAACACAGATTCGACTGCGAATGTTCGAAATTCATTTCACAAGCTGACCACAACAGCTCAGCACACACACCGTGCGGTATCTCAGGCGTTGTCTAACGCGATGTGTAATGTCAAAATGATTGTGTCAATGTGTCATGTCAGATTGTGAGAGCTGGCTCGCCGTTTTTCGTCGAGGCGTCACGGAGAGGCGATAAGGTGCAGTCATCAGGTCAGAGCCTGATCGTGTCGATTGTCATCATGCACGAGCATGGGCTGCCCAGTGGGCACGGCGGTGGTGGGAACGGATATCCGTTGAATGTGTCGGCTCGAGCTGTTTCATCACCGCGGCGCTGTGTATCGATATCTAGAAATCCCTGCACACAACCAACTATTCGCGTTCGTCGTGTGCTGGTTACTAACATGTTGACGAGAGCCCGCTGAGTGCTGGACCTCTGCCACTCCACGCGCACAGGTTCGCGACGGGAATGTGCCCCAGCCCTGTCCTGACGATCCAGGTTGAAAGCCTGCCAACGCCTCGTTCGTTGCATTGTTGAAGCGCGTCCCAAGAAGTGTTCCAACTTGACTTCACCTGTCTGGAGCTGGGGAAAGGCGTGTCCCGAGCCAGGGCTGATCGTCCACGTGTCGTAAGCGACCCGTTGCAAAGCAAGAATACATACGGCGATGGTATCTGCTTTAGTTCTGGTGCTGGTCTCCATAAATAGCTTTCCGTGTTGCGTGTGCCGGACATTTGAGGGAACTTGCCCCCCCCCCCCCCCTCTTCTGCGCCATTCTCGCACCTTCCGCTTCACGTCTGTCGTGTTCTTTCAACCGTGTGTTCCCTTTCGGTGCGCCGTCGCTCACGTCGTTTTGGATGCCGCACGAGGCGGTGCCGGGCCGATGCGTCACCAGGTGGCCCCGCCCCTGCCCAGGTCAACTCGACGGACGGTGGCTGCCGGCGCTGCTTGGCACGCGCCCCCCAATATACGTTTGCGACGGCTGCTGTCTGGAGTGGACTCTGTCGTTGTCTGGCGATGGCGCCAGAACGCGGCGGCTCTCGTCGTCGGCATGAGCACGGTGTGGCGGACGGGGGAGCACCGCGGACCTCAGTCGCACTGCAGTGCCCGCGGATACGCCGGGGGCTCCCACAGGCTCACATAAGGTGCGAGCGCAATGCGGAATACGTAGACATTGCGGACTCCCCCCCCCCCCCAGGCCACATCGGAGTGCCCCGCGGGCATACCGGAGTTACGCGGCACAACCAGTCTCCGAGTCAAATCACAGTGCCCCGCGGACATACCGGAATCACTTGGATACAACCAGTGCCCAGGCTACATCACAGTGCCCCGCGGACATACCGGAGTTCCTCCGGCTCAACCGGTCCCCGGGTCACATTAAAGTGCTCCCGCGGACATACCGGAGTTCCTCGGACACAGCCAGTCCCCGGATCACATCGGAGTCTTCCAGGCACATTGGAGTTTTCTATCCACAACATTGGCGGCACTAAAATGCATCATCGGGGCCAAGTCCAGCACATGTCGAAGTCCCGCAAACACATGGCCGTCTCACACACATCGGGGTCCATTAGACACATCCCCCACATAGGGGTCCCTTAGACACACCCCCTACATAGGGGTCCCTTAGACACATCCCCTGCATGGGGCCCCTTAGACACATCCCCTACATAGGGGTCCCTCAGATACATCCCCTATGCGATGGGATCTCCCGGACATATTAGAACTATCACGTATGTCGGGGTTCGGGATAAAAGGCCGCGTCCCCCAGACACATCGGGGGCCACGTATCAGGGTCACCAGGGTACAGGCGTTAGGCCCCATCAAACACACCGGGGTCAATCGAACACATCGGATACCGCACATATATGGGTCCCTTAGGCAGCGGCGTGCCGTCAACGCATGCTGAAGTCCGGCACGCAAATATGTGCCCGTAATCACGCACAAGGGCGTTCCTTGAAAACATCGCGCTTGCACCCGAACACAACACCGTCCTCCGGAGACATTCGGCTGATCTTGCAACCGAACACAACACCGTCATCCGGAGACATTCGGCTGATCTTGCAACCAAACGCAACACCGTCATCCAGAGACATTCGGCTGATCTTGCAACCAAACGCAACACCGTCATCCGGAGACATTCGGCTGATCTTGCAACCAAACGCAACACCGTCATCCGGAGACATTCGGCTGATCTTGCAACCAAACGCAACACCGTCACCCGGAGACATTGGGCTGATTTTGAATCAGCGTGGTGTGGGGTGCCAGTTTCCAGATGCTTGAGACAGGAGCGGAGTGACATCCGGTCCGGTCACCTGACACCCTCCTCGGGCTGTTCTCCTTTTGCGACTTAGAGGTCATCCCTCATAGCTGAGTGCACCCCTCGCAGCGTAACAATGACGCAAGAACAAATGGCTTGAGGTTCTGGTGTGATTGGATATTTTTTTGAAACTGCTTGCCGTTTTTACAGACATGTTTTAGATTTATCCGTAAATGTCTCGGCGAACCCAATATGTCCTTCACTAATGTAATCAAGTTCGCAAAAGTCAGTGACCATATTTCGAAGGCTCCGAGATCCCGTTCAAGATTTGAGTTGCACCGAAGCAGCTGTTAACGAGTTCTGTTCTCACCGATTTTGGAAAGCCACATAGCGGGCGCGTTCTCGCCGGTCCACAATTTTAATAAACAAACAATACTAATGAGAAATTGTGGTTTTTGTGCTCACCACAACTAAAAAACATTTGTCCGACATAACGTCATTTCATATGATTGTGACAGAACAACCTCGTGCCCACAGGTCATTGCAAATGTGACCTATTATCGCATCCCCATATGTGCAGGGTTAGGTGGATCACCTTCAAATGACGAAAGGTTACGGCTGATTTCATGGCCAGGTCGTTTTGCAAACATGGAGCGAAATCTCACCTGCCGCAAACCTATTGGCGACGTCAACAATTTTCTCAACTCTGCACCTGATTTCCGGCCATCCAGAAGCATGACCATACGAATGGGGCATTATGACGTGATGAAACACATCAACATACGTCCTCACAGACAGAATTCACCTTCGCTATAAGATCCAGCATTCGACCACTGTTATCCCCAAAAAGGCCGGAATAACAGTAATATACGTTGTATAAACCAGTGCTCTGTGACACACGAACAGTTCACAACTGGTCTCATTCTTCCCCTATGGATCAATCAATGTAATTTTGTACTCAGGGCTCTACAGACGTGCTCGCCCAGCCCCCGCTGAAAGCACAACGACGGGAGTTCGGTCTAGAAGGACGCACCGGACCAAGTCGCGGCCTGTGGGACGACACTTGGCGGTTCGCCAGCGTCTGCCAGCTCAATTCCCATCCATGCAGGCCCGGAGCGCGTGCAGCGTGTCGACGCTAACCTCGGTGAGGGCCGTGACTTGGGCCGGCTCCGGCGCGTCTGCCGCCTCCAGCCGCATCAGGCAGCAGAGACCGATGAGCGCCCTCTGGGAGGCGTTCAGCGCGCGCCTCAGACGCGTCCGCGCGCCTTCGTCGCGGCGTCCGGCGGAGCGTAGCTGCTCCGCCTCGGCCGCCGAGAGCCGAATCTGGGCACGCAGCGGCGCGTCCGTCAGCACCGCGCGCAGCGAGCCCGTACCGTCGTTGATGATGACTTCGAGCCGCCAGCGGCCACCGCTCGTGGTCAGGGCGTTGACCTGAGTCATGATGAACGCCTTCACGACGACCGTGCCGCCAGGCCGCAGGTCGGCCAGGTAACCGAAGGGCGGCGCCGGCGGCCGGGCCAACCACGGCAGTGTGTCCAGGGACGGGGCGCGCCGCACAGGGCTCAAGGGCGGCAGCCGCGGCCAGACCGGCGTCTCCGGCGGCCGGCTGGATACCAGGCCGGAGTCTAGCGGCGCGCACGGCCTCATGAACGCGTCCAGCGCCTGCTGGCGCGGCGCCGGCGGCGGCCGCCAAGCCGCGGCAGTGGGCCCGGCGGCCGCCGCGTCATGGCCCCGGCGGGCATCAGGAGCCCGCTGGGCGGCCGGCGCCGCCGCCGACTCTGTCCGCCGCCGCTTCCCGGGTGCCAGCGGATCGTCAAAGTCGGCCGGGTCGATGGCGGCAAGCACCGCCTCGTCCACGTCGTCCAGCGGCATGTCAACGTCAACGTCGACGATGGTGGCTAGCTCGGTCTCGTCGATGTCGTCGTCAAACGGGTCGGCGGCGGCGGCGGCCTGGACGCGCGGCGGCGCCGTCCCGTTCGGCTGGTGGGCGGCGGGCGTGGCGGCGCGGTCTGGACCGGCCGGCAGCGCGGCGGCGGCGGCCCCCAGCCGCGCCAGCAGCGCCGCCTGCTCGGCATCGGGCAGTCGCAGCTCGTCCACACAGCCGCCGAGCACGGTCACCGCGTCGCCGGCGAGCAGCAGCACGCCGCGGCGGCTCTCCAGCGGGCCGTGCAGCAGCAGCTTCAGGCCGGCCGGTGTGTCGGCGCGTAGCTGCGGTATCGGCGCCGTCTCCAGGCCCGTGACCGTCTGCACGCCGTCGGTCAGCGTCAGCCGAAGCACGCGGCTCGGCCGCGGCTCCCAGCCGGCGCGCGGCTCGCACGTCACATCCGTGTTGGCGCTGTCGAGCCGCCGCAGCCGCAGCAGCTGACCGTGCGCCGGCTGACCCACGTCCACGGCGCTCAGCAGCTGCACGGCGCAGGGCGCGCGCAGCGTGACGAGCGGCCCATCAGCCAGCTGCGGCGGCAGGGCGGCCACCCCTATCTGCGCCAGGTCCGTGTCCAGCCACTGCTGCAGTACGTGCGCCTGCAGCTGCTCCGGCGTCAGGCGCTGGTCGCCGCACGACTCGGACACGAACTGGATGCAGTCAGCGAGCCAGTCATCGGAGACGGCCGTGACGCCGCGACCCTGAAGCGAGGCGCGCACCGCCTCCAGCCGACTGGCGTTCATGGTCAGCGATGGCCGGTGCGACCTGCCGGCTGTCACATGTCAGTTGGGAGAGGCCAGGTATGATGGACTGTTGTCAGGACAATGAGTTCAAGCATTGTATGGCTTTGCATTTGGTAACAATCTTGTGTAAAAATTAAAAATTAAAAATTAAATCTACACAGAATTCTAATAACACTACAAACATAGTTTTTCCAGCACATTATGCCACAGCAACATGCTCCATTAAGCTTTACAGGCATGCACTTTAAGCTAGCCCAAAAAGTTGCCACCCAATTAGTTGTACTCAATTGTTGTTTTTTTAACTCCAAGGAAATTAGCAATGTCTTGCTGTGTATATCTGTGCTGGGTTGCACTGGTGAACAGAAAATTTTGGTGATGTGCTAGAGAAAGATTTCCAGGATGGTCAAAGTACGGAATGCACAAATACTTTTCGCATAAAAGTGTCACAAAATAGCATTTGAGCACCTTGACAGGTGACTGCTATATAGTTATAATACTAAAAATTTACCCTATACCATTACTTCTCCTCTGCATGAGTTATTCATTCCACCACATTAGCCTTCAGATTATGCACACACCCCAGAACACCAAGCTACAAGGCTACACCATGCATGATGAAAATAGTACAACTATTTGTCATATTGTTTGAGCATGATAAATAACATGACTGCTTGCTAAAAGCTTTCAAATTAAAAACCACGTAAAATCATGATTAAAAACACAGTTTTTATACCTCACAAGTTCCATGTAGCTGCAACAACTTCAATTACGTACTTGCGCTGGCTGAGACACGGTACGCCCCAAGCACACGTCACCCACTTTTCAGATTTCCGTTTCCAAAAAACGGGTTGTAATTATATGGTTTTCTTGAAAACTGGACGACATGTTATTCTATCAGTATCGTTTCAGAGAAGCATGCTATTTGTACCACCACTTCACTCATATACTGTCATATACCGGCAATACCAGCGTCCACCCCGGAATCCTGTCGACAAATGTGATGCGTCTTATCAAGGAAGTGTGGCTCATGCATACACTTGCCAGCTAATGATGACATCATATGCAAGCGAACTGTGATGTTTATGATGTTACTGTCATACCAAATGGGTGAAAAATGAATGTTTGGAAAGCACCGCGCCAGGGCGTAAATTCACGAAGTGAGTTGGGAGAAAGTAATCGAGGAGGTAATTTCCTTTTAACGTGCATCTGCGTGTGTGTGTGGGGGGGGGGGAGATCCCAAGCTATGGTGTTGAAGCTCCCTCTCTCAGCAGAAAGGAGCCGAAACCCTTATGCTGTACTTTCCAAGATGCTGCGTTTTTAAACATGGCAAACTGCTTATGGAAGTTTGAGATCCATAGAGGTATGCGAGCGGGTGGCGAAGTCACGGGCCACACACCTGCGTGTATAAATGCAATTTGTCAGAAGCTGTGTTTGACATCTTCGGTGCGAAGTACACACAGTGTACACACACACAGTGTGCGAAGTACACACAAAATGTTTAAAGTGTATGGGGATATGGCATTACGCGCCAGATGAATATATTTTCGTGCTAAGGGAAAGGACAGGATCGTACCGGGTTGAAATAGAACAGAAATGGGTCGACAATGTTAGAATGGATCTTACTCAGGTTACGAAGGATATGCCAGGCTGGTACTAAAGCAAATATATGGCAGCCATGCAACCAGTCCAGACCGGACCAAATGGGACCGAACTGTATCGGGGAAAAAAATATATCATTTGGGAGCCTTCAACGTGCGCGGTCCAGTTATTGTCACAGGTACTCTAGTTTGGCTTAGCGTAGCCTTAGCTGAAATGAGCTGTGGGTCCCCTTCCATACTACAGGCCCTGACTATCACAGGGCCCTTCCATGACGGCCCTAATGGCCCATGACGGGCCAGGGCCTAATGACGGTTTCTCATCATAAGCTCTCATATTATCACCTTTCATTGTCAGGGGCCTTGATCAACGAAATAGCCCACCCACCTCCTTCTCGCACGGTATTCGTGGCCTCCCCCTCTTGCCTTTCAGCAAATGAGCTCCGACCAGTGCGAATCGCGGGCGGCTGCTTCGACCCTGCTCTGGAAATGGGCCCCCAGGGCTCAGGTTGATGCGGAGCTGACTGTGCGGCGCATTTTGTGTCTGGTCGAAATAGGGTCTGTATTGTCTCAGGCCTCTCCTAGCGGTGTCAGAGGCCCGCTGACTGCTGACTGACATTTGAGGTCACGACCCCACGGTTGGAGGTATTTAACGTGAACTACAACTAGACCTTTGGGCCCTTCGGGATTCCAATCGGACCCCTGATCTTTAATCCCGAGGACTCTTCAGACCCCTCCCCCACCCCTTTCAGGCCCCCTCGAACGCGGCCCCAAGCTGGCTCAGGGGTACTTGCCGACACCGGGCCCCGACCACGAGCCCTGGCCTTGTTCCTTCTTGGGAAATGGGCCCCCCGGGTTCAACCAGACTCGGAGACAATTGTCCGGCGTAGGCAGTCTCTGGCGGCAATAGAGTTCCGCAATGTCCCAGGGGCTTCTCAATGGGTGCAAGACGTCCTTGAGTGACATCTAGAGTTACGGTTCCACGGGTCGAATTTGTACTGCGCCTACATGAAACCCTATGATTCCCTCGCGCCCTTCAATCTTCTGTCGGGCCCTTGATCATCGGTCCCAAAAAGTCCATCGGGACCCTGTTTGGGCCCATCGAGCAGTGTCCCTGGCCGACTGAGCCCTTTGCCAGCACAGAGCTCCTGCTTGACACTGCGGCCCCCTAGCTGACACAGGGTTCCCTTAGCGGCTCAGCAGCCCCAATCAATGCAACTCGAGGGCCTGAGCCTTGTCCCTGCTTGGGAAATAGGCCCTCAGTCCCAGGCCGACACGGAGACACCTGCTCGGTTGTGCCGATGCCTGATCCTGATAGAGTTCCTCATCGACACAGGGGATCACAGTCGGCGCAAAGGCCCCCATAAACTAGCATTTTGGTTATACAGCTGCATTTGTATTTGACATCAGCTGACACCTCTCATGCATGCGTGGCTATTACGTGCCATAAGTCTGAGAGATAAAACAGTTTGTCGAAAAAGGAACGGGAGGTGATAAGAGATAAAAGTACATAGACGCATGCACGCATGAACAGCATGAGACAACTCTATCGCACAAAAAAGACCTGGCGGCGCGCTTTAAATTTCTTGAATCCAATCGTCTAACATCAACAGGCAACTCATTAATAATAGACGCCGCTTGGTACGCAAAGGACTGCTGTCCTGCCACCGTGCGCACCCCCGGGGGGTACAGATTATGATGGTCCATGCGGGTAGTTTCGTCACTGGCCCGCGCGTCAGCGTATGTTTGAAGCAAGCAGGCAAGACCTGCAGGTTCACCTAGATCACGGGCTTTGTGCGTAGCGGTAACAGGTAGTACTTCAAACATTTGACGAGGCGTGGCAACGTGCAGGTCATCCCGCACGCGAGACACGTGGTCACACTTTCGGAGGTCAGTAACTGCTCTGGTAGCGAAGTTTACTTCTTTAAAAAGTCTGGCCTCGTTCACAGCCCTGGCCATAAACTCTTGCCATAAACCGAAATGCAGTATCTCACGCGCGAGATAACTAGACTCTGCACGATGGTCAGCAGCACTCATTGCGGGAGGAAATGTCTCAGGCAGCGGAGACCAATCAGGACTTCGATGCACTTTTTACCTCATCACTGATGTGTGCGTCCCAGCTCAGGTGGCGGTCAAATAGCACACCGAATTTTTTACAGTCAGCCTGTTCCGAACGATCTCTCCACCGACTCGTACGCTGACAGGGGAAAGTCCGCGGATGTTCTGTCTAGTGCCAAGAAGTTCGGTTTTGGATGCGTTGAGCTTGGGACCGTGGGCATCGAACCACGATGCTAGTCAGGACATGATGGTTTCCACGCGTTGGATGAGGGAAGGAAGGCTGCGTTTAACATTGGACATGAGGATTTGGATGTCGTCAGCGCAATGGATCACATGAACATCTGGCGCGTGCGGGCTGGTGTCGTTGGCGAAGATTGTGAACAATAAAGCACCAAGGGCTGATCCCTGCAGGACTTCCATGGTAATGGGGAACTGCTTGGAGGCCACTCTGTCACTAAAAGAAGAAGAGGTGCAGACTGACTGGGAATGGCCAGAAAGATGGGAGGAGAACCAAACCGGGTCAATGTTGTAGAGCTGGAGGCCTGAAATTAGTTATGCAGGATGAATGAATTCGAAACATTTACTGAGATCCAAGAGGCGCAGCAGGGAGAGATGGCCACGATCCATGTTGGAAAAGATGTGGTTGGTCACGGTGAGCAGGGCAGTGGAATGGCGGGAACGGAAATCATGTTGGCATGAGGACAGAATATGATTGCAGACATGCAGGTGAACGCCGAGCGCTGCACCACACGCTCGACAGTCTCGGCCGTGACAGGAACGATGGAAATAGGACGATAATTGGAGATCAGGGCTGGATCGCCGGATCTGAAAATCGATGAGCCAGGGAGTGCTTCCAGGAATCGGGAAAATCGCAGAAGGTGACAGAGGTGTTGATGATATGAGAACGATATGGCTGATGGCGGCAAAACAGTGAAGCAGGATACGAAAAAAACACCATCAGGTCCACACGGCCCGGAACGCTTCATGGAAAACATGATCTCGTGCAGCCCGCCAAGGGTCGTGCCAGTCACCCAGAAACCGCAAGCGCTCACACTGAGGAGACGACATGGCACGTCAGGTAGCTGTCCGAAACCGGCCACGTGGCTGCAACACGGGGGCCGACAAACACACAAAATAGCATTAATCTTGTCCGGGGTCGCGGATGGGAAATTGCGAGCACTGCTCTTTTTCTCCACTGACAGCGGGCGGATAATGCGGCACAGAGAACTACTTCCCTGCTCACGTAGTCTGTTCTCTCAATATCCGCCCGGAAGTCACGCCCGGTCGCCGACCTCACCCTCCGGTCCAGTTCGCGGAAAACCCAGGATTCTCCTCGTGGCGCAACACGCCCCTCTGCTGTACCATAAGGTCAAAGGTCACCATGGTAACAGCTGGGGTGCCTGGATTCCTCAATGGCGTTAGTTTGATCGGAGCGTGTTTCTCAATGGTTGGTAGAAGACCGTCGAGCAAATAGGAGCACATATCAGCGACTAATGGGCGCCTAAAACACCGGACCAGCCGACATGGTACAAATCACGAGGCAAACAAGCATGGTCAATCCATTTCAACAGTCGAATATTTTGGATATGGAGAGGCTTGGCACGACACTTTGGCAAAACTAAGAGCATGCGGACAAAATGGTGAGGGCTAAAAGCGCAGTGAAAAGCTCCGACACGCTGAACGACGTTATACAACTTAGAAATGACAATGTCTTAAAGCGACTCGGAAGAAGGAGTGGACTCTCTGACAAACTGGTGCAGATGGAACGATCGTAGCATCTCATTTAACCGGTCCTTTGCAATATTACTAGCAGGGCCCAGTAAATTACGATTTACATCACCATAATAACGATCGTTCCAGGTGCAATAGTACTGTTACAGTACTATTGCACCTGGAACGATATTGCACCTATATTGCACCTGTTATAGTACTGTTACAGTACAATAGTACTGTTACTGCAGGTCCAGTTCGCTGAAGTCCGCCTGGAGGACAGCCGCGGTCCGGCGCGGGGGCCTGTAGACCGCAGCCACAGTAGCATGCGGACCGGACTCCGATCTCACACGCAGCCAGAGGGACTCCAGCCGACAGTCCGGACACTCAGATGCCGGCTGTGTGATGACAGTGGCTTTGTAGCACCGGCTCCTGCACCAGCCTCACCCGTCCTTTCTTACCGTAGTTTGATTCATTCTGATGTTATTTAGCCCCTGACGTTCTATTTCGGCTCGGTCCGATTCCGACCTTTCCTTCAGCGTGGAAACATATTCATGTGAGCGTGTCGCACCCTCTAAAGTCCCTTCAGCACCTTGCGTGTGTTTCGCATATCTCTGAC